GGGGTGGGGGGGGGGGGGGGGGGGGGGGGGGGGGGGGGGGGGGGGAATAGCTGGCAGAGAACAGGCTGAGTTGTTTTTACTGAAACGGTCCTGAAGCTGGTGCAATTCATCCAAACATCATTTGACTTACTGACACAATTTCCTTAGTTTTTATGCGATTTTTGGATTCTTTAGCTAAGAGGACGTTAGCAAAACATTCACTTTGGTTTCCTCAGATAGTCCAGACTTTAACATTTGGGGAGGATTTAAATCTGGTTTACGGAGGCTAGTTTCTGTGTTAATCTAAAACTTTTATGATCTTTGTGTGATTAGGAGCCATTCTACCCATATCATGATTAACCTACTGCCGTGCTTTGGTTTAGACTCTTTATATTTTTTAAACTTTGCTTCAAATCCCAGAAATATTATGTTGATATATTTTTACTGTCTCAAATAATATGGAATGTGCACTTTTTAAGGATGTTCATTTGGTTTGAAATGCAGTGATTTTTTTTACAAATTTTCTAGAAATTCTTAATCATGAGACAAAAAACAATGCCTACATTTCTAAAACAAAGCAGAGGAAGAATACTTTACCAAAGAAGCGAGTGCAATGGTTTTCATTAGAGAAAACCTCAAAATTGTCATATAAGCTAAGAATTACACAAAAAAAAAAGAAAAATACACTAATGTCATTTAGAACTTGTCTCATGTACGTATACACATTTATGTTATTCATGTCAGTGGAACAGTGGACTTGTGGTCTAAATTATATTTTAAATTGTTTTATAAAAAGAAAGATTTTTTTTTTCTTCATATAGATCATCATATAGATGTTTGAAATTGTGAAATATATTTGTTTTTATGGAGACTGCCACTCATTTAGCCCCTTGAGGGTTTTTCGGCAGTTGTCCATCACATTTTATAATACTGTTTTTATGTTTTAGTTGTGAAAATAAAATTAAAAAGAAAAAAAACAAAAACAAAAAACATTTATAGTGTGAAATCCTTCATGTCTCGTTTTATCTCTATCTCTTCGTCCTTCGCTTTCATCCAGAATGAATTTGGACTTTTTCACCTTTGGTGAAATAAAGAAAGGAGAAGTGTGATTTAACCACAGAGTCTGGAAAAAGCTGCACTGGTAAATTCTCCATCAGACCTCGGTCCAAAATGAGGAGGCCTCAGTTGTAATCTGAGGGTGAAATATCTGAGAAGACATCAGGAAAGACTCTGCTGCACATGAAACCTGCCTCTTAAAAACACTCTGTGAGAGCCTCCTCTCTTCTGAGGCCTGATGGAAATGTCAGGGAGTCTTTTTCTTTCCCAAAAACCCATTTTCAGTCCGAACACAAAATGACTCTGATGACACAGCTTTTGCTCGCTGCTTTTTCTCTCGGTGTCTGTGATTAAAAAAAGAGACACCGAGTCATTTCGGCTTTTTACCAAAAGGGGAAAATAGAGAAATCGAGGAGTCCTCTCTCCTCTAACGGACTCCTGCAAAAAGACGTCCTTAAACATAAGAAAAATACTGAACGTGCACACAGAGAAATGGAGAAAACTGGATGTTATTTAAAGATTCTGTATTATAATATAAGATTTATTTCAACCCCATTTCAGATTCATGGTCGCTTTGTTCTATGATTGCTCATAACCTCTGAGCTCCTGTCTTATTTCACCCAATTTGTGTTTTCTAGCGCCCACATGTGGACTATAATGAAACAGCCAGGAGCATAAAGTTGCGTGTGTGTGCGTGTACTTTACACCGTGTGTGCGTGGTCAGGGAAAATATGTCTTTGCAATGTTTAAGTCATCAGTTTCGAGCAGATAGGACAGAAACATTTTGGCAGATCATGTGAAATGAGCCACTGGTGATCTCATTAAGTCGGTAATTAGAGCCACACTACGGTGCAGAGGAGGTGTGAAGCATTCAATTAACTTTGGGAACTTTTTGGGGAGGTTTCTGGGAGACGAATAAACATCTTTGAGTTGGTGTTCTTTAGAAAATGATCAAACTTCCACAGGACCTCCCTCACAAACAAACAAGCCTTACCTGGTCAACCTTATTCTAGAGCTAATAATAGTAAGGTAATAGTCATAATTCTTGCTTTAGAATGAGTCTAAATACTGTGTTAATGGCCTTATAACCCCCATAAATTGATAGTGCTTCCCTAAGATGACCAATTATTGTTTTTCCCTCTTAAGATCAGTTCTTTAATTAGCATTTAATTAGCTTTACATGGTTGCTACTTACACTCTGGACTTACGTTTTTTAACACTCGGCTTTTTGGTTATTGTTAAATGAATTATTTCAAAGCCTGTAAAGGGCAGTGTAATTGTTTATGACGTCTTAAAACTGAAACTGAACAGCGTTCATTTTCTTTTTCGTATCAAATGAATGAGAAGTTACAAAGTAGTGCAAGTCTAAGCTATTTCCAAAGAACCTGATTCAATGCGTTTTCTCTGCCCATTCATCCAGAAAAACTTTACTTTACAGTTTGATTATTGCACAGCTGAGCAAAAAGCTTCCACCTCATGCAAAAACAAAAAAAAAATATCAATAACCGGGTCTTATCTGCTGCAGAGATTAAATTTGTGGTTCCTGAACTGTCCCGCTGCATCGATTTCCAGTCCTGAGACAGGAGGCCAGCTATCTTCATCTTTAACATTTGGAAACTGTCATATTTTCCTGCATTTCTCTGTTGCTTCTCACAGACAGAATTACAACTCCTACGTGAGGTCTTTGTAGGGTTTTTGGAAGAAAAAAAAGAAGAAAAAAACGAGCTGCTGCTTGCAGGCATTTGAAAAAAAAAAAAAAAGAGAGAGATTGGTGAGTGGGTTTTCCTTTGTGGATCTTTGTCAAAACACAGTGGTTTATGTGAAGTGCACGTTTTTTCCCAGTCTTAGCCGTCTAAATTCTCCTGATTCCCTCAAGTCCGGTGAAGCAAAACGGGCCGTTTGCGGGTGGATGTTGGTACCTGACACATTTCTGTTGGGCAAAACTGAAAAAGGGCACTTTGTGTTGCAAGGAAAGAGCCATTTTGTGTGTCTGTGCGACGTTTTTTTGTGTTCTCGAGCCCTCTCCCCTAACTCTTAACGGCAGAAATTTGTCAGACTTCCTGCACTTTAACCATGAAAGCTTTTTTTTGTAAAAACAAAACACTGAACTGTTACCGTCTGCCTGTTAGCTGAAGGTAA